CATATACTAGGTGGTCTTTTGTGGATGGAGTCTTTTACTTAGTATAATGTTTTAGAAGCTCACCCATGTTGTAAAATGTACCAGTACTTCATTGCTTTTATTGCCAAACAATATTCCAATATATGAATGTACCACATTTTGTTTATCTATTTAGAAGCTGATAAACATTTGGGTAGTTTCTGTTTTTTGCTGCTATGAACATTCATGTATAAGTCTTTGTGTAGATATGTCTTTTCATTTCTCTTCAACAGATAAATAGAAATATAATTATTGGATCATATGATTAATCTATTCTTAACATTTTAAGAAATTGACAGATTATTTTCCAAAGTGGCTGCACCACTTTACAATACTGTCCAACAACGTATGAGGGTTCGTTTCTCCACATTCTTGCCAATGCTTGTTATTGTCTGTTGTTTATTATAATCATTCTTGTAGATGTGAAGTGATATCTCACTGGTTTTAATTTGCATTTTTCTAATAAATGAGCATCTCTTCATGTGTTTACTGGCCATTAATATAGCTTTTTTGGTGAAATATCTATTTAAATCTTTTGTCTTGCCTTGCTTCTTGAAAGGTAATTTTGCTTGGTGTATACAATTCTTGGTTTATAGTTATTTTATCCTCACATGTGCAACACACTTTTCCATTTTCTTCTGGCTTCCAATGCTGCTGTTGAGGATTGGCCATCAGTCTTACTGACATTTCTTTCTAGATAGTCTGTTTTTCTCTCTGGTTGCTTTTAAGATATCCACTTTGTTTTTGGTGTTTTACAGTTTCATTGTGATATGTTTACATCTAGATTTCTATTTATTTGTTTGTTTGTTTGTTCATCCTACTTAGGAGGCACTGAATTTCCTGAACTTGAGAATTCAACTCTTTCATCAATCCCCAGTTGTTATTTCATCCCTTATTCTTTTTTATTTTCTCCCTTCTATCTTTCTGAAGATCTCCTGAGATGTACGTTAGAACTTATCACTCTATCCTATATGTCTTTTAATCTCTCTTTCATATTTCCCATTTGTTTTCCTCTGCAGCATTCTACATAATGTCTTCAGATCTATTTTCCAGTTTCCTAATTCTTGGTTGAATCTAATCTGCTGTTTGACTCATTGTTAACTTTTAAGGATAGGCAGAATAATGAACCCTCAAAGATACCCACATCCTAATCCCCAGAACCTGTATAAATGTTACCTTATATGGCACAAAGGACTTTACAGATATTCTTAAGGGTAAGGATCTTGGGACGGGAACCTTATCCTAGATTGTCAAAGTAGGCCCAATTTAATCACATGAACTAGTGGGAGATGAAGGCAGAAGCATGGGTCACAGAGATGAAATGGAAGCAGGAGGAAAGATGCAAAGTGAGAGAGGGACTTGACCTGCCATTGTCATGGGCAGCTAGCAAGGAATTGGGGACCTCAGAAAGAAAGTGGATTCTGCTAATAACTCAAATGAGCAAGGAAATGGATCTTACCCAATAGCCTACAGAAAGGAACTCAGCCTTGCTGACATTTTCATTTTAGCCAGGTGAAACCTATGTCAGACTTATTAACTACAGAACTGTAAGATAATAAATTGTTGTTGTTTTAAGACACTTACTTTTTAAAAAGATTTTATTTATTTACAGAGAGAGGGCACAAGTGGGGGGAGGGGCAGAGGGAGAGGGAGAGAAGGATTCTCAAGCAGACTCCACAGTGAGCATGGAGCCTGATGCTGGGCTCAGTCCCACGACCCTGAGATCATGACCTGAGCTGAAATCAAGAGTCAGATGCTTAGCTGACTGAGCCACCCAGGCACCCCAGGACACTTATTTTGTGGTAATTTGTTATAGCAGCAATAAAAAACTAATACTGTTTTTCAATTTTAATATTTTTTAAAATTTCCAAAAGTTCTGTTTGGCTCTTTTTCACATATGTCATTCATGTTTAGAGTTTCCTGTTTCATACTTATATTTTAAACCATCCTTTTTTATTTTCTGATATAGTAAAAACATCTTCATAACGTGCATCTGAAAATTTATTATCTATGATCTTTGCAGGTCTGGTTCTGCTTTCTGTTGTTTCTACTGGCTCTTGCTCAAGATAAGAGTTCTTGCTTTGTTTCTTTATGAATTTTTAATTTTTGACTGTGAACTCATGTCTATTGGGAATTAACTGTTGGATTCTTTGAGACCTGGTTGTAGGCACCATTATTCCAGGAAAGGTGTGTGTTGGTTCGACCAGCTGCCACCTGAAACTTCCTGGAAACACCTTAAAATAAATTTCTAGCTTGAGGATTTTAAATTCATATGAGTAATATGAATGAATGTTAATTAATGCAACAAACCTGGTGAATTAAGAATTCACAGGAAGAGGCAGTTCAAGTTAGCAGCATAGGCAGATCTTGAACTAAACTCCTCCCACAGACACACCATATCTACAGCTACATAGGGAACAATTCCTTCTGAAAAAGACCTGAAAACTAACTGAATAGCTGTTCCATAGTGAAGTATAAAAGGGCTACATCAAGGTGGGTAGGAGAGGCAGAAATGTCATCTCACCTGAAACCTCACCCCTGGCACAGTGACATATAACTGGGAGGGATCTCATAAATACAGAGCTTCTCCTTGGGAAGCAAGGGGATTGTGCCCCACATCAGGAACTCCAACCCTTGGGACCTGTACCAGAGAGTCAAATCCCCAAAAGGTCTGGTTTTGAAAACCAGTGGGGCTTATATCTAGGAGATAACCCCAAAGGGCTGTAGGGAATTAATATCCTGCTGTTACAGGGCTCATGTGCAGACTCACTCACCCCTGGGACTCAGAGCAAAAGCAGCAGTTTGAAAAGCACTTAGATCATATGTGAAGGAGATTCATTTGCTAATCATAAGGCCTTTGCTAGAGGGACAGGAACCTGTTGGGACTCTTGCTAGGGATGGAGGTACTGGTTCGCACCAGTTTTGTGTTCTCGCTCTCCCTCACTAGTTCTGGTAGGAGTGTCCCAACCCCAATGGCTCCTGTGGCCCTGCTAAAGCCAATAGACACATGCGGCCCACACAGAGGACATCCCTTGCATGCCTGGCCCTGGTAGCCAGGGATGCTTGCTTTTCTGGGCCCCACAGGCCTGAAACAATTGGAGCCACAGCTCTTGATACGTTGACACCCCCAACGTGTGGCACACACAGTGGACTAAAACACACCTCAGTTGTCCTGTGAAAATGCCTATTTACATATTTGCTATCAACTTAAAATCGACTGTAATATTTATAGGCTGTTATATGTGAGCCTCATGGTTAACAAAGCAAAAGTCTATAGTAGATACACAAAAGATAATAGGAAAGGAACCTAACCGAAACACTACAGAAAGTCATTAAACTACAAGGGAAGAGCAGGAGAAGAGAAAAGGAATAGAAAAGAACTAAAGAACAGCCAGAAAACAATGAACAAAATAGTATAGAGCACATACCTAGTAATAATTACTTCAAATGTAAATGGGCTAAATTCTCCAGTCAAAAACATAGAGTGGCTGAATGGATTTAAAAAACAAAAACAGGGGGCGCCTGGGTGGCTCAGTTGGTTCAGCGACTGCCTTCGGCTCAGGTCATGATCCCGGAGTCCCGGGATCGAGTCCCACATCGGGCTCCCTGCTCAGCGGGGAGTCTGCTTCTCCCTCTGACCTTCCCCCCTCTCATGTGCTCTCTCTCTCTTTCATTCTCTCTCTCAAATAAATAAATAAATAAAAATAAAAAACAAAAACAAAAATAAAGACCCATGCTGCCTACAAGAGACTCTCTTCAAATGTAAGGACATGCACAGACTGAAAGGGAAGGAATGAAAACTGTTTTATGTAAATGGAAACTGAAAGAAAACTTGGGTAGTTATATCGGACAAAATACACTTTTAAACAAAGACTGTAATAAAAGACAAAGATGGTCATTAAATAATGATAAAAGGGTCAAATCAACAAGAAGATACAACATTTGTAAATATTTGTGTACCCAACATAGGAGCACCTAAATATATAAAGCAAATACTAACAGACCAAAAGGGAGAAACTGACAGCAATACAACAATAGAACAATAGTACAATGCAATACAATACAATAATAGTAGGGGACTTTACTATCCTACTGACTCTCAAACTCATGCACACACACCATCTGTGTGTTGACGCCCAGCCACTTCAAGACAAAAACTACGTTTGTGCCTCTCAGAGCATCTGGTTGACACAGAAGAGATCTAGAGAGTGAGAACAAAAGCAAGAGAGAGATACAGACAGATTACTCTCTTTTAAAGCATCCTGTTCTTTTCCTCCAAAGCATGTATTACAGTCGTATTGACAAATGCACCCCTCTTCCACTAGATAGAGAGGGGCACCAAGGCAAGAATCTGTTTACCGCCATATTGTAGCACCTAGCTCAGTGCCTGGTACATAATAAATTTTTATTGGATACATGGATTTTAAATATGGGTGGCTGCATTTAGACAAGTGGAACAGATGGATGCCAATAGATTTCTTTGGAAATCATAAAACAAAAGTGGGAAAGTGAGAAAACAAAAGAGAAAATACCAAAGAAATTTTAATAATGTGTAATTCATAGAAGAAATATGAGTGATCCTCTTTGATCTAACAAATTTTCATGTAATTATAGATTCTTATAACCAGTCTATAACTGGAAGAGAATAAAAAGAGTTGTGTTCATTGTCCAACATGAGGGTCGTAGGCTAGTGACAAGCAAAATTGGATAGTATTGCTTTGGATTACCAAAGACTTTTGTGGCATGTCTTTCCCTGAAGATGGAAAGCCTTTCTTTTCTGTGATGTTCTTGATGTCTTGTTAGGAGGCAGTAGAATGGGTCTCTAGTTTTTTTCATTCCTGTGGGTTGATGGTAAAATTTCCTTTTCCCACCTCTTTTTTCTATCTGGCTTTAAGTGATCTTATCAGTTCATTTTAGCTTTGATAATTATCTCTGAGCATACATTTTCCTGCTACATTCTGAAAAGTTCACTCTTTTATCAGGTATCAGAGTAACACTGCTTCTGCTGTTCTTGAAACAATTACCAACATTCAACCCAAAGAGAGTGGAGGCGGTGTGGGAGAGACCCGGGAAGCCATCGTTTATAGATTATCTGAAGATATGCTGAGCAAACTGCCTCCTGATTACATTCCTCATGAGGTAAGCTACACACTTTGCCCCTGGTGTGTACAGGGCTGTCTTTGGGTTCCACAAAACCTAGCATGGTCCTGGGACAGTAAGTTTCACTCCCTCCCTGCTCTGCTCATTCCCACTTCCTTTGCAACTCTTTCTTTTAACCTTGTGGTCTTCTCTTCCTTGCCCCTTCTCAAGCATCTTGCAAACTATGATCTGCACTTTTCCTGACACCTTTCTCCATCCATCTCCTACTCCACTCCATGTTCTCTTTCAATCACCTTTTCTCTGCCCTTTTCCCATCTTTGGATTCCTCTATCTTTGCATCCCCAGACATCTTACGCCTCTAGGCTGGAAACATCCCTCCACCTCTTTCACCCAAGCCTGCTTTGTCCATTCTTTAAACTCATTCCTTGTTTTTGTCTTCTGCTCCCCCCTTCTAGTCTCTTAATTCTCCCAGCCAGGAAAGCAAGCCATTTAAATGAATTCACTCCCCATGTGGATGGCAATAATTTTCTACTTCTTGAACCTCCCAGTTGTTTGCCTATTAACCTAAATCAGTTTTTCTCAAAATATTTTTAACCTCAAGACCCCTTTATGAAATGACTGAGGACCCCAAATAACTTTTATTTATGTGGGTTATAACTACTGATATTTAATATATCATAAATTTAAACAGACATATTTCAAAAGTCTCTATTAATTTATTGTAAAATAACAGTAATAAACCCCACTACATGTTAACACAAATAACATTTTTATTAAAAAAAAGTATGTTTTCCAAGACAAAAAAAATGTATTGAGAATAGTGGGATTGTTTTACATTTTTGCAAATCTCTTTAATGCCTTGTTTAACAGAAGGCAGGTAGATTTTCCTATCTGTTTCTGCATTCGATCTGTTGTGACACCACATGTCACGTAGCTCTGGAAAACTTCACTATACACTCCTGAGAGAAGAGGAGTTAAAAAGTCAAGTGACGTCTTAGTATTACTATGAAAAACATGCAACTTTGTGGACCCCCTGAAAGGATCTCAGGGCCTGCAGGGGTCTTTGAGAACTGCTGATCTAAAAAAAAAACTTTAATTGTGAAATTTCTGGGTGGTTAAAAGTTCTGCGAAAGGTCCTTCAATTTGGCCTCCTTCTTCATGCAAGAAGACAGGGTTGTATCCTCTGGTCATCTCCAGAGGGGATGGGCCTCTTCTCTCCTGTTCTCAGTCTCTACCCCTCACTGCTGATGGTCAGAGAGTCCCAGATGGGACTGAGTCAAGTGTAGCTCTTCAAACAAGAAGTGAGAGGCTAATGCCCTAGTGCTGGTAAAACTATGATTTTGTGTCTACCCTGACTTGCATCCTCAAGTCTGGGAAAAATGAACTTGTCAGTTGGGGGCCCTGAGGCTGCTTGAGCTACAGGCCTCCCACTGCAATGGGTACCCTCAACAATAAGAGACATTTTCTTGCTTCTTAAAACAGTTTTTGCCTCTGCTATGTAAATGGGTACCAAGGCATTTGGCCAAGATACTGAAATCCATTGCTTCACATAGAGATAATTTTAGTAGGGGGGAAAACATTTTTTTAAATGGATACATAGTGTAAGTACATACTTTCAATGGTTCATTGTAAGTGATCTTCAGGAGACAGATGAGGCATAAAACCTGCCTTCAAATATTTTAAAACCTGGCATGTGAAGGTGAGATAAAACTCACTCTGGTTGACTAGACCACAGGTTGGTATTACCCGAGGAGGGGTCCAGGATCTTGGGATAATTTGAGCTATCCAGGCTTGGTCAGGGCCACTTCCCCCAGTTCTCTGTTCTGGCAATATTCTAGCAGGGACTGAATGTGAGGGATGTTGCTAAGTTGTTTGCTAAATGGGAAGGTGTTTGTACTGAGGCATCCAAAACTGCTTCCTCTTCCAAGCTCACTTACCTTTTAGTGTCCTTTATTTCATAGAAGAGAGAGATGTGTTCTTGAAAATGTGGCTGTAAAGTGAATTTTGTAAATTGAAATATAATTATACTATTGACTTCCATAGTAAAAACGGAGCCACATTACTAAAGAAGAGACTACCTGGTCCCAGAAACATAATGAAAATCCTATGTAAGACTGCAGCAAATCTTTCATCTTATTAATAAAAAGATAATTTTAGGCTGGAACAATAACCATATTCAAAATAAAATCAGTACAAAGATTAGATTTTCAAGAGTTTAAGTTTTTCCTAAGCATGTCTCTATTGCAAAAGAAGTTTCTCGTTTAAAACCGTGTAAGTAGGGCAAGGTGATTTGTTTGGGGCTGTTAGCATACTAAAAATGTACCTGGGCTATTGATGTGACACTGTAGCCAGTACCTGGGCTTAATTTCCCACTTGTGGGAGTTGCAAAAGTATTTCCATAATTTCCTTTTTCCTTCATTGTGAATTTCTACAGAGTAGTCCTGATTTGACTATATAGGCTAGTCATATATAGGGTGATATATAGGCTATTCAGCCACTGGAGGCTGAAGGGCTCGAGATGAGAATGAGGAGGTAGAGCCTGCAAAAATGTAAGTTCTAGAACCAGGAATTTAGGAGAATGCCTGAAAGTTGGTCTGGTGACTATGTTAGGGACCTCCACCGGCATGTTTGACTGGGATTGCAATATCATTTGCTCTACCTGCCCAGATATTCCCACCCTGGATGTTCGGTTTTGTATCACTGATTCCCCAAGTTTGTGCTTCCGCTCTTCATCCCTAATTCATTAGAAGTGGCCTAACTGCAGGAAAGCAGAGGTGTCTATTGCTGAGGTGGACGCTTCAGCATCATGCTAGCAAACCTGTTCTGGAAAATGAGGAGGATGGTCCAGATGAGCCTGAAGCCTATCGTTTCTAACATTCCATGACTCAAGAAGGGGCCATGAGCATTTCCAGCAGAGAAGCCTACAGTTGACTGGCTTTCTGGTGATTTGGTGGACTGGTACATTTCTCTAAATTCTCTCCCACTCCATATGCCGATCCTTACCCCGCCTATATTGGCATCTCTTTGATTGTGGCCAGCAGAAAGTTCAGATCTCTGTATGAGTTCTTGCCAATATCCATAGTCAATCTTTTCTTGGGCATAGGTCACTAAATTCAAATGTGTATATATATTGGCTTATTTTCCAATAATTGTTATATTTTATTATTCCCAGACCAGATGCTTTTATATTGATCTCTTCAAAATGGTCAATAAATGATATACCAAAAGGAACAAACGACAGGTGCTTAATGGCTCTCACACAAAGTCAAATATTTTTATTGATTAGATTAGGAAAGGTTCTCTTTAGTCACACTAACCAGGGCAACAATGATCTTAGGAAGCTGCAACCAATCATTCATTGGTTACTGCTCTGTAAAGATTTTGGCCATATTAAATTTCTGTGACATTTTTAATAACGACTCTGTAAGCATTATGAAAAAAACATGCCAAACTGTACTCTTACAAAGGTTAGATTGCAAAAGAATATTTAACTGACACTTAGCACTTAATCATTTGAAAGGGAAAAAAGGTATAATTTTGTTTCAGCTTTTTAAAGTACATTTCCAATTATCAATGAAGTACAATCAGTAGGAAATAAAAACAATTTTAGTTGAACAGTAGTTTCTGAGACCTGGAAATGGGGAATTTAATGTCAAGTTTGGTTCTGCAAGAGATATTTTAGAATCCATTTGGTCTAGTAGAGCTATATCCAGAGGAAGAAAAGAATAGAGAAAGGAGAGGTCATTGGAAGAGAAATGACAGATGATTAAAAAAAATTCCTTTCTTGTATGCTTTTTTTTTTTTTTAAGGTGAAAGCTCGTTTGGTAAAGATGGGACATCTTAATTCAATGAACATATTTCTTAGACAAGAAATTGACAGAATGCAGAAAGTCATCTCAATCCTTCGCAGTAGCCTGAGTGATCTAAAATTGGCCATTGAAGGAACAATCATTATGAGTGAGGTGAGCTAGGATCTCAGTTGTCATCTCCCTCTTTTGTTGGTTTTTCTCATTCTTATATTTTAACTCTCTCTTTTTCAGAATTTGAGAGATGCCCTGGACAACATGTATGATGCTCGCATACCTGAGATCTGGAAAAGAGTGTCCTGGGATTCATCCACACTGGGCTTCTGGTTTACTGAACTTCTGGAAAGAAATGCTCAGTTTTCTACTTGGATATTTGAAGGGAGGCCCAATGTATTTTGGATGACTGGTTTCTTTAATCCCCAAGGTATGTGCTCATAAGAAAGTGGGCAAAGTTGGCAGATGAGGGTAGTTACATAGTAGCACTGTGTGAAATGCATGTTATAATACAACAATACAGAGGTACAACTTGCTAAGTGCTGGACACATGCTTTCAAAGGTTGGAAACCACAGATGATCCTTCTGTATTTGTTTTACAAATTTGATCTGAAATTCATTCTACTATTGCTTCTACAATAATGTAGGCAGACCTTCCATTTTTCTTTTTATCTGCTTCAGCAAGGCTGTGGTTAGGACATGTGAAATAGTAAAGTTTTGCTCAAATCTCAAATCTTAATTTTAAATTTTTATGAAAATGACAAGCATAAAGCACCAAAATATGCAAAAATTGTTTCTAGATTTCAGGAAATTAGACTGATTTCAAAAATGATCTTGTGGCAAAACTTTTATTGAGTGAACTTCTAGAGTCTGTACCCCCTCAGTTGCCCCTCCGAAAAAAGTGCTTTGTGATTCTGCTGCATTTCTTCCTTCACTCTAGAAATTTTTACTGAGTTACTGACCAGATGTCTATTGACATAGTAAATAAATAAATAAATATATATGTATACACACACACACACACACACACACACATATATATATATATATATATATATAATTGGTAAGCTCATAAAAACCACCATGGTTAGTGTTTCAGATTTAGAAAATGTAGAGTTCATAAAGCTTTGAAACATGACAACTTTTTTTAAAAAAAGATTTTATTTATTTATTTGACAGAGAGAGACACAGTGAGAGAAGGAACACAAGCGGGGGGATGGGGGAGGGAGAAGCAGGCTTCCCGTGGAGCAGCAAGCCTGATGTGGGGCTCAATCCCAGACCATGACCTGAACTGAAGGCAGACGCTTAACAATTGAGCCACCCAGGTGCCCGAAACATGACAACTTTTTGCTTACGACAATATGGATAGTTTTATTTCAAGTAATTCTTTCTTTTAGTTTTTATTTAAATTCCAGGTAGTTAACATACAGTGTAATATTGTTTCTGGTGTACAATACAGTGATTCATTGCTTCCATGCATCACCTGATGCTCATCACAAGCGCCCTCCTTAATCGCCATCACCTATATCACTCATCCCCCCACTCCCCTCCCCTCTGGTAACCATCAATTTGTTCTCTATAGTGAAAAGTCTGTTTCTTGGTTTGCCTTTCTCTCTCTGTGTGTATTATTCCCTTTTCTCATTCCCATTCATTTTCTTTCTTAAATTCCACATATGCATGAAATCGATGATATTTATCTTTCTCTGACTTATTTTGCTTAGCATAATACTCTGGCTCCATCCACTTTGTTGCAAATGGTAAGATTTAATTACTTTTTATGGCTGAGTAATATTCCAGGGTGTGTGTGTGTGTGTATGTGTGTGTGTGTGTGTGTGTGTGTAACATCTCTTCTTTATCCATTCATCAATCAATGGATACTTGGGCTGTTTCCATAATTTGGTTATTGTAGATAATGCAGCTATAAATATCAGGGTTCATGTATCCCTTTGAGTTAGTAGTATTGGGTATTCTTTGGGTAAATACATAGTAGGACCATTGCTGGATCATAGAGTAGTTCTATTTTTAACTTTTTGAGGAACCTCCGTACTGTTATCCAGAGTGGCTGCTCCAGTTTGCATTCCCACTAACAGTGCAAGCGGGTTCCCCTTTCTCTACATCCTTGCCAACACCTGTTGTTTCCTGTGTTGTTGATTTTAGCCATTCTAACAGATGTGAGGGGATAGCTCATTGTAGTTTTGATTTGCATTTCCCTTCATGATAAATGATGTTGAGCATCTGTTCATGAGTCTGTTGGCTACCTCTATGTCTTCTTTGGCAAAATGTCTATTCATGTCTTGTGCCCATTTTTTAATTGGATTATTCATTTTTGGGGTGTTGAGTTTCATAAGTTCTTCATATATTTTGGATACTAACCCTTTATAGGATATGTCATTTGCAAATATCTTCTCCCATTCTTTAAGTTGCCTTTTAGTTTTGCTGACTGCAGAAGCTTTTTACTTTGATGTAGTCCTAATAGTTTATTTTTGCTTTTGTTCCCGTTTCCTCAGGAGACATATCTAGAAAGAAGTTGCTATGGCCCATGTCAAAGAGGTTATTGGTCATGTTCTCTTCTAGGATTTTTGTGGTTTCAGGTTTCATATTTGGGCCTTTAATCCATTTTTTAATTTATTGTTGTGTATGGTGTAAGAAAGTGGTCCAGTTTCATTCGTTTGCATGTTGCTGTACAGTCTTCCCAACGCCACTTGTTGAAGAGACTTTTTACCATTGAATATTCTTTCCTGCTTTGTTGAAGATTAATTGACCATATAATTGTGGATTCATTTCTGGGTTTTCTATTCCATTCTATTGATCTATGTGTCTATTTCTGTGCCAGCACTATAGTGTCTTGATCACTACAGCTTTGTAATATAACTTGAAGTTTGGAATTGTGATGTCTCCAGCTTTGCTTTGCTTTGCAAAGATTGCTTTGGTTATTTGAAGTCTTTTGCGGTTCCATATAAATTTTAGGATTGTTTGTTCTAGCTCTATGAAAAATGCTGTTAGTATTTTGATAAGGATTGCATTAAATGTGTAGATTTCTTTGGGTAGCATAGATATTTTAACAATATTTGTTCTAATGATCCATGATCATGGACTGTCTTTCCAATTTTTTTGTGTCATCTTCAATTTCTTTCATCAGTGTTTTATAGTTTTCAGAGTACAGGTCTTTCACCTCTTTGGTTATGTTTATTCCTAGGTATCTTATTATTTTAGGTGCAATTGTAAATGGGATTGATTCCTTATTTTCTCTTTCTGCTGAATTATTATTGGTGTATAGAAATGCAACATATTTCTGTACATTGATTTTGTATCTTGCAACTTTCCTGTATCAGTTCCAGCAGTTTTTTGGTAGAGTCTTTAGGGTTTTCTACATAGAGTATCATGTCATCTGAGAATGGTGAAATTTGACTTCTTCCTTGCTGATTTGAATGACTTTTATTTCTTTTTGTTGTCTGATTGCTATGGCTAGGACTTCCAGTATTATGTTGAAAAAAAGTGGTGAGAGTGGACATCCTTGTCTTATTTCTGACTATAGAGGAAAAGCTCTGTTTCCCCCCATTTAGGATGATATGAGCTGTGGGTTTTTCATAGATGGCCTTTATTTATGTTGAGGTATGTTCCCTCTACACATACTTTGTTGAGGGTTTTTATCATGAATGAATATTGTACTTTGCCAAATGCTTTTTCTGCATCTATTGAAATGATCATATGATTCTTATCCTTTCTTTTATTAATGTGATGTATCACATTGATTGATTTGTGAATATTGAACCACCCATGTAACCCAGGAATAAATCCCACTTGATTGTGGTGAATGATTTTTTTAATGTATTGTTGGATTAGGTTTGCTAGTATTTTATTGAGGATTTTTGTATCTGTGTTCATCAGAGATATTGGCCTGTAGTTCTCCTTTTTTTAGTGTCTTTATCTGGTTTTGGTATCAGGGTAATGCTGGCCTCATAAAATGAATCTGGAAGTTTTCCTTTTCTATTTTTTTGGAATAGTTTGAGAAGACTAGGCATTAACTCTTCTTTAAATGTTTGGTAGAATTCACCAATGAAGCCATCTGGTCCTGGACTTTTGTTTGTTGGGAGTTTTTGGTTACTGATTCAATGTCTTTCCTGGATATCTGTCTATTCAAATTTTCTGTTTCTTCCTGTTTCAGTTTTGGTAGTTTATATGTTTGTAGGAATTTATCCATTTCCTCTAGCTTGTCCAATTTGTAAGCATGCATTTTTCATAATATTCTCTTCTAATTGTTTGTATTTCTGTAGAGTTGGTTGTTATTTCTCCTCTTTCATTTGTGACTTTGTTTATTTGGGTCCCCTCTCTTTTCTTTTTGATAAATCTGGCTAGAGGTTTATCAATTTTATTAATTTTTTCAAGGAACCAGCTCCTGGTTTCATTGATCTGTTCTATTGTTTCTTTAGTTTCTATATCATTTATTTCTGCTCTAATCTTTATTATTTCCTTCCTTCTGCTGGCTTTAGGCTTTATTTGTTGCTATTGTCCTAACTCCTTTAGTATAAGGTTAGGCTGTTTATTTGAGATTTTTCTTGCTTCTTGAGGTAGGCGCGTATTGCTAATACGTCCCTCTTAGAACCTCTTTTGCTTATCCCAAAGGTTTGGGACCATTGTGTTTTCACTTTTATGGTTTTCCATGTGTTTTGTTAAATTTCTTCTTTGATTTCATGGTTGGCTGATTCATTGTTAGGTTGCATGTTATTTAACCTCCATGTATTTGGGGTCTTTCCAGTTTTTTTCTTGTGGTTGACTTTTGGTTTCATAGCTACTTGAGATAATTCCTGGCCACAATAAAGTAATGTTGGGTTCTTTACAGTTCAGCACTTTATAGCTCCACTAGTAATCTAAGAAGTATTCACATATACAAGTTTAGGAAGCATTATTGCTACTCACAATATGGTTGAATTTCATAAAATATTAAGTGAAGGAAGTCAAACAGAACACATTACAGTGTGTTATACTGTATACATTGTAGCCTATGTGTAATGTATGTATACTGTATGATTCCATTTACACAATGAATCAAAATTGGCAAAACAGATCCATAGTGTTAAAAGTCAGACTAGTGGTTGCCCTTGAGAGAGAGGGCAGTGATTGCAAAAGGGCAGAAGAGGATTTCTGGAGGTCAAAAATGTTCCATTTCTTGAACTGGATGTTGGTTACATGGCTATTCTCTTGGTAAAAATTCATCAAGCTGTACACTTATGATTTGTGCAGTTTTCTTTGTATAAATAGTACTTCAAAAATGGTATACTGTAATTGTTCTCTGTGTACATGTATTCATTCACTTCATGCATTTTCAAATATCTTAACATTTTCTAAACTTAAACACTAACTGTGGTTGTTTTTATGAGCTTACAAAACTATACATAGTATACTATTATTTCAATAGGCTTTAGAATTGTA